CCAAGGGTAGTAATCTTATTGCACGCAATACTGCAGAAGTGTTTTTGCTCAAAATCATTTTTTACATATCTATCTACTATAGTCGGCTAAGTTAAATCGTGTATTATACACTTACTTTTTTTTAGGAATTTCGAATTACTATAAAATTTCTTTTTTGGTTTACTTACCATTCATTATATGAAAGTGGGCATGACACTTACTAAATAAATAAGAAAAATACCTGTCATTCATTATATGAAAGTGGGCATGACACTTACTAAATAAATAAGAAAAATAGATAATTGCTCTAAAGAAATGCTCTTATGGATTAACATTTTATTATGAAAATACTGGAAATGGATATAATAACTACAATATACTTTTTATATATATAATTTTAATTTATGTTATACACAAACATTAACTTTTAAACTTGTCTTAGCTGAATTATAAGAATTTCTTAGTGGGCTGCTATTATTTATTGTGGAATTTAATCACTGCGCAGTCTTCTCCATAAAAGTAATAAATTGTTGATTTAAAAAATTACTCTGATCAGCTCAGTCTAGCATCATCATAAATAAGTTTCATTTAATGTAACAACGTTGATTTATTAAGAAGTCATATAAATTCTACAATTAATATTTTAAATTTTATTATATTCATATAATAATTATTTTATAATATGTTTTTATCTTAATACGTTAAAATTATTTATTTTAACGCACTTCTGCCTTCCTCCCGTAATAGTATTTCATTTAAATATTCATTCAAAATAGAAATGCGAGGATAAAATCACCTTTTGAGGATAAAATCAAACAAGTTTTGAAACGTCGGCGATATATATATATATAAGTTTCAATATAACTTTTTTTTTTTTATTATAAATTGTTTTATTATTTAATTTATTAAAGAACAATTAATAAAACAAAACAAGACATAAAGCAACTAGTTATTAGATAACTAACAAGCAATTTAAATTTAAACAGATTAGGCGATTCCACGCAATAATAAATTAATTGTAGTACATTTCAATGATTTAAGCCCAAAGATCGCACGGCTTTTGGCGCTTTAGACGGCGTATTGGCTCAGTTGTCGCTAGTAAATGCGCCTCAACATTTATGTGACAACTAAATCTATCTTGGTGTGATTTGGCTTTGGTATGAAATTCTTCATGTACTGTTTACATTCCGAGGTCACGATGTAAGTCAGAATTTCTCACGTACCATGGCGCGTTACTTCAATATAATAACAAAAACAAAGACAAAAACTAATCTATAAATTTTTACTTTTTATTGAAATCAGCCTTTTTATCAGTTAAAAATAATTAAAACGTGAACTAACAATTATTTTAAAGAAAAACTATTTGCTTGAACCACTTCTGAGACATTGGAGACATTAAAGAAGCTTTTTTTTTGACACCGCGTATTTCGATTTATTATATCATTTTTGAGATGTTGGAAACTTATTAGCTAAATTATTTGTTGAGAACCTGTTTTTCGGTAAATATGTAAAATGAACAATACTAAACTTTCCAAAAGATACTCTCCTGCTGCTGAGAAAAATAAATTATATGTATATATAATAGGTGTATTAAAAAGATATCCATTATTTTTGCATGAAATTGAAGGCATATTTAGTATAGTTAGAATGATCTGATTTAGGCCAAATATGTGTCGTTTTGATCGACAGCTTGTTGTTATTTTAAAGATAATTTTACTATGCTTTTCTCATAAAAGTCCTCGTCCCCATTGGATAAAAAATTGATAAGTAGATTTTCACAAGCCTCTCTTGAAGCATACTTTTCACCACAAAAATCATTCTATAAAGTGGACTATAAAGTGGATGCATAAAAACTTTCCAACCAAGCTTCCAGAGCTTTTGATTGATCATTATAGATATGTGTAGCATGGGGTTGCACTGAAGGAATACAATTCCTCTTCTCTTGCCCAATGGCAGCCGTTTCTGGACGACTGGGCGATTGTTTCCTTCAATCGGCTTTTCTGAAATTTTTTTTGCGTTAATTCGTGTGAGACCCATCATTGAGTTTCTTTTTCTATTCAGCCTTTATCAAATTCTTCCAAACGGTTTTTTGTGCAATCTTTATCTCTGGGGCAATCAGAACACTGGTTACATGACTCGAACTAGTCGGACTCAACAATTTTTATGATTTTAACGACATTTTCGACAATTAGCCTTTCAGTACGTGGTCCTTTTTAGCATCGAAATTGTTGAAACGAAATCAATGAAACCAAAATTGCGCATAATTGGCTGTTACAATATCAGGACTATGAACACTATTCACATGTGTCCATCTTTGAAATGCGTTCAAACAAAACTGGGGACGTAATCTTATATTTATAGCGCCATCTAGCATTACCCGAACAGACTTTTACAACGCGAGATACAGATAATGAAAGCCATTTATTGGAGAAATAATGAATTGGTGTTACTGCACGTAATATATGCACAACCCAACGCCTTTACTTTGTAAATTGCATATTTATAATATATAAATAGTTGACGAACCTGCAAGAGCTACAGTATTTTATAATTTTATTCTTTAAATATCTATCACAGCAGCAATTAATTTAAATTTTTTCGCATTAATTAGACAAAGGCTAAAATAATTAGCTGTTATTTAAACCTAAACTTGATCAATTTTTTTTGCTGTATTTTTCACCTTCAAATCCTATTGAGATATATATTAAATGTTGCATGAAATAATAAAAAAATTTAAATAACGAAATTTCTCACATTCACTTTTATAATAGATTTATTTCTGCTATTTAGTAGAAAAAATAAACAAAATAACAAATTATATTTAAATAAAACAGAAAGCAACTTCTGTTGGCCGCAGTACATTACCCCACAATATAACCATGAACTGACAAACATAACTGAACGAGTAATTTTTAATTTACTCTAAAATTATGAAAAAAAGATAAATGAAATATTATATATTCAAAATGCAGATATGCAACTATAAATAGTAATTCTTTCGAGCAATTAATTTGCATTTTGAGATATATGAGCTAAAATTAAAAAATAAAAGCAAGAAATATGCATAATATTTTCATGTGGCATGGATCGATGCTTGCTTAAACCTGCCTACTGTTTACAAACACACAGACTTTGTATCTCATGAATGTCTGATTTAATACTTGTCTTCGCTATGGCTTACTTAATCTGGTTAATAAACTTTACTTTTTAAGCATCTTTTGCTGATGGGCTCTGCTGCTTTTGGTCTCATCAACTTTTGGTAATTAAATCGCTATTCTAGTTTTCTTCTCTTTAACCGCTTTTGTCGCAGTCTTTCTTATTATAAAATCAACTTGACTGCTGCTGCCGCGCTTTAGTTTCAATAAAATTTGCAGTCTTAAAGGTTCAGAGACGTCGGTTACTTTTAGGCCAAAGCATCGATTATACTTAGAACATGAAAAGTGTTAATTGTGTAAGTTTTTGAGAAACGTATTTAATCTGCATAATACATTAATATGTTAAATAAGAAATAGTTGAAAAATAAAAACACAAATTTCTACAGAAAAAGAATTATATGGTATATATCAACAAAATATCAACAAAAGTGTGGAAAAATACTAAAAGAATGTTAAGAGATAAAATCGCGTACACACATTTTTAAATAAAATACTTTTTTAATAGATAAAGTAGAACTTTATTTGTATATATCTATATTATATATAGATATATCTAATATGTGTTTAAAATACAAATAAAAAAATAATATATTTCCAATAAAAAAATTCACTTACTGCTCTCTGTGTATATACACATACACATTACATAAAAAAATGAAATAATATTTTTATTATTTAGTGGTATATAATATGAATGTAATTCAAAATATATATTAATAAATATATATTTTTTGCAAGTTCTCATAAAAATGCATGAGCAAATTTTGGCTTATTTTATATCCTTAAAATGAAACTCTATAAGCTAATAATTAAAGTGATTAAATTTTAATGCCATTTTAATTTTAATTTAAAATTTTTTAAGCTTTTAATGACACTGCAGTAACAGTTTTTGTCCTATCTGCCAAATATTCTTTGAATACATAAAACTTTAAAATATTATAATGAAAATAAATATTTTAATAAAATTTTTAATTTGAGTTTCCACAAATTTAAAATATGACTAACATAAATTTTGTAATAATTTTGTGAGAATTTTTCTAACTAAAATTATACAAATAAATTGAAAAGCATATATATTTGTACAAGTATACCATATATTCAAATATTCAGAACAAAATAAATTGAAGCAAAAATTGGTTTTTGAATATACCAGCATAGTAGAGATTTGTATCATATGAAAATACATTACAGAACAATTTTTCTCATATCAAATAAATAATTCCTATTACTTTACAGACAAATATATTTAATTAGAACATTTTTCATTCCAATTATAAGTCTGTTTGTATTAATAAAGAAGAAAACCAATGCCAATTCTATTAAAAATGTATATCAATAAAGAAATATTTACTGCTATTCAAAGAAATTTATCTGTTAAATTACCTGTGGTCAACGGGATGGATTTAGTTTTGCCTTCTTTCTTTTATCAAGTGTGTGCAAATTTTTTTTACACTATAAGACTAAAAATATTCAGATATTTTTCATATAATTTATATTGTATGTGTATTATATTATATTGCAATATATCTACTCGTTAGTATTCATACTATCAGAATACCAATATGCTTTGTCATTTAAGTCCTATAAATCATTTCGACTAAATTACATCTCAGTTTCATTCTTCAATATTCTATCACAGCAAAATAGTTTCAAACAATTTTACATCTCTAAAGGAGTGATTGACTAAATTTAACATTTTGCTTCTTTTAATTCCTGTTTAAAAGAATATGGCAAATTTTAAGACAAGGTTAATTCTTAGAATTATAAAACTTTAGAAGTATAAAACTTTGCTTGAAAATTGAATATTATATTCCATCGTTCTTGTTGTAAATGAAAGCCAAAAGAAAGTGTTTTAGTTATGTGTTGCCATTATCCCGACGTTACCTTTCGCTGATTTCATGGATTTAATAAAAACAAAAAATAATTTAAATACAACCATTGTAAAAATTGTAGTAATAAAGAGATTGTCATACATATTACATATTATACATATATATATGGATATATTATAATATATTCAATTCTACATTATTATGTAAAGACTTAAAAGTTAGATAATAAGTAAATCCAATAAAGGTCGTATTGCATATGAAACAAGGATTACTTCTAATAAAAATAACATGACACATGATTTATATCACGAAAACTGCAGAATATACGAAAGAAACAACTTTCAGCTGAATACCTTTCAATTTATTTTTTATACCTAACTTATATGTTGAGCACAAATATTTCGGATGATTTCAAAACTACTGCGGACCTTAGTAGCTATTTTTTATTAAGTACTCAAAATTAAGACCATGTCTCTACACCATGTACTTTAAAATGTTTTAATAATATTAGATTAGTGTCAGTGGTGTTGACGTTACTTTTTTTGTATGAATAAAATTTATATCCGTCAGCAACAATTTAAATTTAAATAGGAAATCATTAATAATTTTTTATTAATTAAAAAACAAGATTTAAAAAATTTAGTTCAAAATGTGACTTTCTAAAATGAATTTAAACATTAATAAATTCACACATATCCGATAACAAAATTCTTGAATATATAATGACGTACAATAAATAATTTAATTATATAGGCGCCTTAAGTTGAAGAAGTATCTTCTTTCCTTTATTACTTAAAATTATATACATGGACTTGTATATATATATATACTTTTCTAGTATAATAAAATATATATAATATACGTGTTCTGACAAAATAATGTATTTGTTTCAGTAATTTGATATATTTTAAATTTTATCTGAATCAATAGCTATTTCGATACAGTGAAAAAAAAAAATACAAAAAAGACGTTGACGATTATAAAACGGATATTTGATGATTTTTTTATTTGTAGTTTTTAAACGAATATTTTTAAAGCTTTTAAAATACGTCAAAAATTACCAATCACAAAAATTAACATTATTATTGTTCACTAAATTAATTAAATTAGACATTGGTAATGTATTAAATCTCTTAATATACCCTTCATACAATTAGTTGATATCAACATTAGATTTGCGAAAGATAGTTAACCACTTTGAACAATTTAGTTTTGCAACGTGATACAAAATAATATTGTTGTTGTTGCCAGTATATATTTTTTATATTATTAATTTTTTTATTATTATTAAGAGGGGATGTGGCACAGCGACAATCGGGCTTATTGTGTCCCCTTCTAGGCTTATAGTAAGTCTATGAATCCAGAAGAGGGTTTACTAACTTTACAGAGTTATATTGTCTCTTTCGTAAGAATATACATTACCAGACAATATGAATCAAGTCTCTGTTTGTTACCTGTATGGACTCAGTTTAATTCACATAAAGAAAAAAAATTATGGGCTTTGGTTTTATTTGATTTAAAAACAGTGTATGGTATGATATGGTAGGTGGAGCTGACTTCTGGTAAAAATTCACAATTATCAATTTTTTATGCAATTATTCAAATGACTTGCATAAATAAATTGAACAAATTAATTTAAATAAAAGTAACTACACTTAGTAGAGAACTTAACATTTTAAATTTAAAATAATAACAAACTTATCTAACGTTTTTAATTACAAATATGCTTAACTATTGTTAGTTAATTGGATAGATAGTAGACGATTGAAAAAATTTAGAATGCCTTTACAGGTCGCTTTTATTTAAGAATATGACCATGAAGTTCAAAGTAAAAGTTATTTATATTTAATGTCTTTACATCAATGGCTTGTCCAGTTTTAACAAATAGACTCCCTAGTTGTTGCTTACATTTCTCCAATATGAAGAGTATGAGACTTTCATTTCTAAGAAATTTCAGCAAAGTATAGATGAATAGAATTCAGTTCATAGTTAGCAATCTTTGACACAAAAATAGTTTGGAATACTTATACGCCCCTGAAACTATTTAAATTCCAGTTATGGATAATAGTTTAGACTACAAGGCTAAAATTAGTTCATATTTAATTTGGTTGGGTTGGGAAAAAAAGTTTGACCAAACAACCGAATTTATAAAATATCAAAATAGATAGAATTTTGTCTGTTTTAGTTCAATTTGAATAAACACGAAATGATTATTCTCATTCATTTCAACACAATAGAATTTGAATAAAAACTGCGGTTAGCTAAAGCCTCATTCTGGGGTAATCTCTGATACTGAACACTTCATATGTACTAAAATGCAATCTATAATAGTATTTTACATAGTATTTTTAAAACAAAAATGCAAAAAACACAAAACCATTGGAAATTAACTTCATAAAAACAGGACAATATTCATATAAAGACACAAAAGTTTTTCGGCTCAAATTTCATTCATTATTTATTACCATATGCAGTTAACATCTGAAATGTATCTTATTTTTGCAGTTGACTTAATTGAAACTCAAAAGAAAAATAAAAATAAACGAAAAAAACGTTAAAAAATGCAAGAGAAAGATGTAATACTATTATCATGTGTAATTTAATTTTTAAACCGTATTCTTGATTCTCAAAGAATAATAATATAATATAATATGTATGTTGAATACCGTAAATATGATTTTTACTTCTTCTTATATGCGATTAAGCCACGTATTATAGCAAATCAGATATTTTGCGACACTGCCTTTGTTATAAGATTAAACAGTTGATATGCAAGTAATGAAGTGTTTCATTTGTACCATTCCTTAGTGCATTTAGGTGAATACAATGCATTTTTTATTGAAAAAGAGCTGCGAAAACTCTTTTCAGCTTTAACAACATGTTTATCAGCTGTCTATATACGTATAAAAAAATAAATAAAATAGAATAATGCTCAAAACGTAATTTTGTTACTATTTTATAAAATTTAAGTAGCTTTGGTACTTATATAATTAATAATGATATTCCAAATCTCCTTTAGTACATAACGAATATTATATGAGGATATGATATATGAAATGCAATAAATTATGGAGAATATTTTAAATGCAGCAATGTAATTAATTAAATATAACCTCGAAAAGTCGAAAATATCAGTTTTTCAAGATCCACCACACACGTCTTATATATTTACAAACATGTAAGTATATTGTACATGGCACCTTAAATTTTTTTACTGACAAATGTTTTAAATTTGCTACATAGTAATTAAAAAAAATAAAAGAAAAATATGAAATCCTGTCTGAGATCATCCAAGTTCAAGTTCATTTCAGCACGATCACATTAATAGTTCTTTTAAAAGTGAACAACCTTCGATTTTTCGGACGTTAACTTTGATTTAACCTCCAATGATATCTGCAGTGTAGAGAAGAAACAGGCTTAATTTTGTGAAAACCTTTTTACAGTATGTTGCAATAACAATTTTTAAAACTTACAAAAACCATTTAAACGGAATCTTTCCACTCAACCAGTCATTTACAACGATCATCTTCTACAAATTTTGCTATAAGTAAAGAACAAGTTCAATGTCAATAGTAAACTGCATTTACAATGACTTGTGTATTACAATTGCTCTTACTTATTTTTTGAAAAAAATTACAAATGTGCGGTTGTCTTAAACAATTCTCATCGCATAATCTTTATTCGTAACTTATGAACCAACTATATTATATTTTTATTTAAAAACCTACTAAACAACTTTTACTTTTTATCTTCCTTTCGGTAGTTTTCAATAATAACAGCAACTGCTGTTATTGCACTGAGTTGTATTGCTGGAACAATAAATGCTGCAGCATCACAAGACCTATTGTTACCTTTCAATGATTTACTGCCGCCACTATTGGACACAACAGAGATAAAAGTGAGCACAACAGTAAAACCAGTAACAACTACAACTCCTCCAATAACAACAACGACAAGAGCAGTAACAAAAACGACAATTAAAAGACAACAACCGAAAGAGTTGAATAAAGATGCAAAGGTGTCAAGCATTGACTTAAAACAAGAGCAACATTTACATCTGATACCCTTTAATGATTTATTACCACCACTTTTGAATGCTGAAGCAACTGGAACTGAAACTTTATTGACAGCTAAAACAACTGCAACACCAACAACAACACGCCGAACAACTGCAGCACCTACACGCCGCTCATCAATAACAACAAAAGCCAGTTTACCAGTTTCAGAAACAAAACCAACTAAAAAATCTGCATATAAATCATATACGCAACAAGGAATTCAGCAATATAATGCGAAGCAACAAAAGCTTAAGCAACATGTATATAAGCAAAATAATGTTGCAAGTCAACCGTTACGACAAGAAAGCTTGGAACATTATATAAATTATTTCCAACAAACAACACACCGCCCACCCAGAGGTGAACTACCTACAATAACGCCATTTCCACGTGTCTTAAAAAGAAGACAAACCTAAGATTTGAATAGTTATTGAGTGAAGCTATTTCAGGAATTTTTTTTAAACTAGTTTAATTTATTTTTAATTTAAAACACATAAATTTACCAATTAAGTTGAGTTCATGTTTAATCATTTTATGGCATTAAGACATGCCCAAAATAAATGTAAATTTAATATAAATCAAATCAAAATACAACGAATTTAATTATTTTTTATTTTTATATATTTTATGGTAATACATTTTTTTAATTAGCATTTGAAATATTTAGTTCAAATAAATAAGATCACGATATGTTCTTCAATATATGGAGATAATGTACATTGTGACCGAAAAGTTTTCGGAAATTCTCATTTAAAATTCGCGCGCTGTATATTTTTCGATATTTTAAGTTTATGTAGTTTGGCAGCAATTAAGGACAATTACTATGCCAAAAATGAGCGCGATCTGTCAGACAGTTCGTTTACGGCAGCTGTTTAAACCAGTTCACCTCAGTAGTGCGTTGCGAAAAAAACAATGGAAAAAAATATTGAACAAAGAGTTTGCATCAAATTTTGTGTTTCGAACGAAATTTCGTGTGCAGAATCTTTGCGAATGCTACAAAAGGCTTATGGGGAATCAGTTTTATCGAAAACTCAAGTTTATGAGTGGTACAAAGCCTTTCAGGACGGTCGTACGACCGTCGAAGACATGCCGCGTTCTGGACGACCTTCGACCTCTACCCCCGACGAAAACATTGAAAAGGCAAAGGAAATCGTGTTCCAAAATCCTCATGTGAGTGTTAGAGAGATAGCACGAGAGCTAGGCATCGGTCGTGAGATGGCTCGTTTGATTTTGGTGGAAAATTTGTGTATGCGACGTGTCAACGCTCGGCTTGTTCCGATTCACCTCAATTTGTTCCAACATTATCAACGATTTTAAGGCCAAACATTCAATAAATACCATCGAACAGCCACCGTATTCACATGATCTTGCAC